TGGTTAGGGTTAGGGCTAGAGAGTAGGCGTAGGCGACTCCCTAGACTCGTTAGTGAAGTAGGCGAGGTACGTACGGTCCGGCATATTAGATAGCCCCAGGGTACGTTCCGGTATACCGGACCGTACCCAGGGTACGTTCCGGCAGTACCCCGGGGGACATAGACCCTCTCAGCGTTACTCATATATCAACGTTGGTATGTCACTGTGGCAGTAATTTTGACATCGTATAATCCCGTGAATACATTGCTAAAACATTCGAGCAGCTATAATTAGTCGCCTACAGGTTTTTGAAATGATTCATTTCGACTAATACCAATGGGTTACTCATATATCAATGCCTACATACGTACGTGTCAGGATCTGTGAACTGGATATCAGTGATTGGATTTCAATTCATGGAGGAAGTTCTATGGGAATGAAAACAAGCAGTAATCGCTGCAAGATATAAGTGACAATCGAGAGATGAAATTCGACTCCCGTAACAAATATCCTTGTTTTTATTTAACTACTGAAAAGAAATCGCCACGATGGCTTCAGATGTTAGCCGCAGGAAACAGCTGTGAAAACTTGGTCGGCTGCGTAAAAATATATGAAAATGTGCCGATTTGATGCATCTTTTTCACGCCAACTTTTTAATAAAAAAATGTTCAATTACCAGCTACTACCACCTATAGCGACGAGTTTTTCGTTTATTGATCATGCAGTTGGCATGTTAGACAGTGACCAATATCGATGTTCTTGCACGCTAACTGCTGCATTGTTAGAAGCACATGGATTAAAGTTGCCTTCGGTTAAGATACGGTGCAGTGCAATGCATTACATCAAGAGCGCTCTTGATTACACGGAGAGCACATAAAACTGTGTAACATCAACAGTAACGCTTGAATTAGCGGAGCGCTGACTCGGGATGTCACTGACCGGACGTCGCTCCTGGCATGAACGCCATAAACACTATTAGCTATACGGCTAATGCAAGGACGCCGAAGTGCGGGTAAACAAAATGTCAGGCCAAAATATATGTAGCCGTTTAGCGAGCACGGTGTTGCTTACTAAACTCTGCAATACATTAGCACGCGAAGTGACGGGTACGCACCAAGGCAAACAAACGGATATATACTCGCATTTAATATATAGTAATGCTGCTATAACTACATCAATCTCTAACAGCCGTCGTTATAGTATAGTTGCACCGTCAGCATTAGTAACACGTCGTCTGTTGGGGATCGATTCAAGCGAAGTGGTAAAAAAAACTTTGCATAAAAAACGAGGGCGTCTCGTTGAAAACGCGTTCGAATATTCGAAACAAAGTGAAAAATCATCTCAACTGCCAGTCGATTCGTTCGTCGTGTTTTTGTAGTAAGCGTCTATAGCTAGACGTGCATGGTTTAGGTGTCTCGCCGTTACGTTACAGTGGAATAATCCCGGAATCAGATATAGCATATCAAGAGCTAATAAACACATCATAATATTTATTAGCTCTTGAGCATATCAGTAGAATAACGCATGATGAACGGACCACTCATCGCATCTCTTGCCAGAATTAATAGATATATAATTTATAATGTATAATTTGCGCAAAATAAACACAATCATGTAAACTAATATTGTCTCTTCGACCAACGGCCCAAATTGCTAAATTCAGAGTACGCACAAATGCACAAATATCCCTATTATCTACTCCTGATATATACGTATATGCATAAGAAAGAAAAATGCGCGCGCGCACGTACGCAATGCGCCGTGCATGCAGAGAGCTGCTTCTGCTGCTGCTGCTGCTGCTGCTGCTGCTGCTGCTGCTGCTACTACTACTACTACTGCTACACTCGTTGCTGCTGCTTCTATCTTCTTGTAGGCTTGCTCTACTAGCTGCTGCTGCTGGCTGCTGCTGCGTGCTTCTGCTGCTGCTGCTGCTGCTTGCTGTACTGTCTGCCTACTCTGCTCCTGTTCTGCTGCTGTTGCTGCTACTGCTGCTGCTACTACTGCTGCTGCTGCGGCGGCGCGGCTGCAGCGGCGGCTGCGCCCTATACCTGCTGATTCATCGCGTTTAGCCTACACCGTCGCCCGCTCTCGACGCACGTCGCTTGTATATGGGATGCGGCTGCTAAGACGCGCCTCTCCATCGATCGCTTAGAGCAAAGCATCGCAAAGCGAAAGAGACGGCCTGCTGAGAGTTTACTCCATCTACCTATGACGTCACGCACGGGGATGCACGCTTCGACCTCCGCGATATACGGCAGCGATGGAAAATCGCCAGGCAAGCAGTGTTGACACGCGGTGCGTCATTGTTTGTAGTAATGTTCGCATGGCATCTGGTTATCTCAGCTC